ATCGTTCGCTGTTCAGTGGAACATAAAAAACTATCAGAAGTATTATCATGATTTATCGTTATAACATTTATTCCTAGAGCATGTGTTCAACAACCTTATTGTTGGTTGCATGTTGGCGTAAGAATAAAGGATTCTCGAGTCGCCAATCTCTGTTCCGGTTTCCGCGTTGGTTAATACAAAGTGTTTCTGAAAGTCTTCCAGGGACAGCGTGAGGTCCAGCGTAGTAAGAGCTGGACATTGACAATTTCTGAGAGTTGGATGACATATATCCTTGCGTTTGTTCACTATGCCTCAGATTACTGGATCATGGAAATCGCAGAAGTCTGTGAATAATTCTCCGTTTTAATTCACTTCACTAAGTGAGATCCTGTCGACCCATGATGAGCTCTCATCTCCCTGGCATTCATATCCCCCGTGAGGATTTCGATGTCAACATTTGGGATGTTGTCCATTACTGTTTGTGGCTGTCTGTAAAAATCTTCCTTCTTCTCTGCATAGGTCATGCCTTTGATAGGAAGTCTGGTAGTACCGTCTATCAGCCGTTTTCATCGGACGTCTACCGGGAAATCATGATGGTTATGTAGGTTCGTGCCAAGGATGGTCATTGTGACATCAGAGGGAAGGGAAATCCATTGGGGATGTTTGAGTAAACCTACGTTCTGATAGACGTATTTCCCACCAAATGTTGAAATTGGTTTTCCATTCGCAGCCTGAAAGTTGAAGGTAGTTTCCTCCTGTCGATCAGATGCTGTAGCAGGAAGGACGCTGACTTCGGCGCCTGTGTCGACTAAGTACCAAGCATGGTTGATTATTTCAAGAATGTAAAGTAGGCGACTAGTGCCACCGGCGGCGGTTGCCGTTAACGCGTGCCGGTGGGGGTAGTTTCCCTTAGGCTTCGAGATACTGCCAAAATTACAAGGTTTTTGGCAACCTTCCCTTTCCTGGTCACAGGTATTGTGATACTAACAGCAGTCAGGGTTTTTTGGTCAGTGTGGTTTGGGTTTAGATCGACCACATGAGTTTCGCCATTGAGGGGAATTCGGACGACGATAGGAGAAATTACAGGGTATATTCGGCCTAAGCAGCTGCTGGACAGAGTTGCATAGCTCTACAACTGCAGTGTCCCTACTCGAAGTCTGTTTGGAAACTGAGCATATTTCAGTGACTGGTCGTTTTGTTATTTCCAGAATTTTATCTGCAGAAATAGCTAAGTCGTCTAAAATAACACCCTTAAGTGTCACCAGCACAGTCTGTACTCACTGTGGCAGTTTGGATAAGAGCAGTTATCTGAAAAGTCCTTCATCGAACTGAAGTTGGCCAATAACTTCTCGCATTCTCGTGAGCAAGTTCAAATCCTACTGCTAAATAATTCGCTCAAACAATTTCGATCCGTGAGGTTGTTTCCCCTTAGGAGGGTTGCGTTAAGCACCTCATACGAGTTACTTACCTCTGGGATTGGTATGTGCACGGTTACGCATCTGCCTAATTCCCGCGGTAGAGCGTGGACGACTGCAAGGAACTGTGAACGCTGGTCAGTGATCCGATGCTCACTAAAATCAAACTCGGCTATCAGAAATCAGGATTCCACATTATCTGACCAAAATGGCAAGAGCTGTATAGTTTTGGCCGTCGATCGAATACGAATGACCGTAGGAGTATGATCACTCATGAAGAAATATATATTTCAAAAATAGTTAGTATAATGCAAGAACAAGTACAAAATGGAACGAAATCACCGGATTTGTCTGCGTGTTTACCAAATAAGAGGTTTGCGATAGGGCTAAACAATTAAGAGACTGAGGGTGTTGACACTCACACATAGTACGACGTATACTAGCACAAGATCTAATATCCACAACCTCACTGGTATACGTTCCATGTAGATCAAAGGCAAAGCAAAACACCAGAATTGATCGTCCAAATTACGAGTGATATTTTGGGACCAAAACGAAGGGCGAGATGAATGCTTAACTAGCTAGGGATCGTGCATAAACGAACGAACGAGGGAAGGTAATTTGACAGCGTGCTGAATGGCGTCGATGCTTGACCGAAAGCCTTCAGCTAAACAAATCGACTACAACAGTGAGAGTCAGCATCCATTGTGCAGTGACGAGTGATGTGGCTAATAATTCTGAGGAATTACCTACCACTCCAGCCTACTTGCATTCTCTGTTATCATCTTATGAGAATACCATTAACAGTGACCATACTATTTTTTCGTGTACAAATGAATAACACCTTAGCATCACACATATTTGTAAGTGTTGAAGCTAGACTTAAGATAGTCCTCGAAGTCACCACACTTACTAAAAACTTCACCGTCTTATGACCTTACGAGTACTCTACCTAACGTGTAAGTACTGATTAACTCAATCAAAGTTTAAAAGCTAACAAAGGAAAGAATTCTTAGTATGAGTTGTATTTAACGTAACAGAATAACAGATTTAATAAATAAAGTGACTGTACAACTTATCTGCAGACGTTGCTGGAGGTAGGCTCGGAGAGTATGCAAAAAGAGAGCACAACAAGAGAGCGAACCAATGAACGTACGGAAGACTCACAACTCAAAAGGTAAAACGTGGATCACCGTGGGTGAGTCAGTTTAAACAAAAGTTCAAAGGTACAATGTGCACTACAGGTTATCCCCCCCCTAGAAGGTTGGTGGGAAGCCAGCAAGCTTCGATATACAACAGTAGGATGGCTTGGCACAATAGCAATGAGTGGATGAGAAGGTTTGAAAATAGCAATAGTAAAAAAAGAAATTTTACCGAAAGGAAAGAAAGCAAAAGAAAAGAAAAAAAATTAAGGTAAGTTGGAAGTGGTATGTACATGATTAGTGAAGTAAGACGGAATATGATAAGAAATGACGCTGGTGCCTTGTGTGGTTGTAAGCTTCTGCGGTCTGATGTTTTTTTCTCTTTTTTTTTGTCTTTCATATTTTTATTAATCTTTTTTTTATTGTATCGATTCATTCTTTTTTTTTATTTTTAATTCCGCACTATTACAAGCTTACTTATGTGGAGGTTTGATGGTAAACCTCTGGCGCCGAGGCTGTCGTAGCAAGAAGGTGACTCATTATGTCTAACTTTCATATTAGACCAATGCTCCCTTCCTCCGCTTCAACAGAACCTAGCAGTCATGTTAAAGGCAATCATTATACCAGCGTATGATAAGGAGCAGGGTAAAAAAAAACAACAGAAGAAAATGGGAAAGAAGGTTAAGATTTCAAAATCGGTGTAAAGGTACTACAAAAGCTTGTGCGAAATCAATGCGAGGAAAAGTGGTGCAACTTGGAAGTATTACGTTAGAATGAGATAAAACAAAGGAAGTTTCTACCCTGTGAGAACTTAATAAATTACAGAGAAGTTAGTACATAACCAATAGCTATGAGTAGTTATCATTACCAAAATTACTTTGTTCATGTTGCTAAAAACATAACTAAGATGGTGCATAATGTTTATAAGTACGGTTCACAAAATAAATGAATTTCAGGAGGGCATTAACCCGAAGGAATATAGTACAGGCTGTGAAAATAAATTGAGCGGATTACTATGTACAGCATAGAAGTGAAGCATTTATGCGCAAAAAAATATGTATATCTGTCCATTTAACTATACAGTGGAAGTTTTTTTTTAAATAATCTTTTTTTCTATTTAAAAAAATTTTTTTGTTTATTTATTATTATTTTACATTTTTTTTACTTTTTTGTATTTTCTTTTTTTTAAATATTTTCTTTTTATTTTTATAAAAATTTTTTTTAATAATAATTAATTTTTTTTCTTTTTTGGAAGAAAATGGGCAGTGAAAGGTAATATACTGTTCATAATTCCTCTTTTGGTGTGGGTTACAAGATGACATGAGAAGTCAACTGATCTAGCGAGTAGATTGAGATGAAATAGATGAAAAATTAGGGGTAAAAACAAACTGCTGCTGGTCCTCTGTAACGAGAGATAAAGATTAAAAGGATTAGTGAGGGTTAAAACGACTACTCCCAGAAGCGGGACCAAATAGATTAAATATAGCAGAATTGAATAAGAAATTGTGACTGTACAACTTATCTGCAGACGTTGCTGGAGGTAGGCTCGGAGAGTGTGCAAAAAGAGAGCACAACAAGAGAGCGAACCAATGAACGTACGGAAGACTCACAACTCAAAAGGTAAAACGTGGATCACCGTGGGTGAGTCAGTTTAAACAAAAGTTCAAAGGTACAATGTGCACTACATATTCATTTACGCTGACTTTATCATATATATATATATATCAATGATAATAGCTCTATTAGAATAAGTCCTTAGGATTCATTCATATTTTTGGCAATATACCTGTAGAAATGAACTTTCAATTTCCATAATATATCTTTGCTTATCCAGTCTCATAGTCAGTGACACAATGAAACTTATCCTAAATTGACAAAACCTAACATCTTCCCAAAAGGGTCTTTAATCAATGAGAATTGTTTATTTGAGGAGACAGTAACTTGATGTGTTCAGAGCATATATTGGCTATCTGAAGTTATGCAAGTTCGCTACCTAATCAAGTTACATTCCGTCTCTATACAGCACTCTACCACCAACCTTCCGAGATTGATCATAATAAATTATCAAGAGTTCGTTTGTAAGGATTTGATTTGTTTCACTTTTGATCACAAACTGATATCAGTTAGAGAACAACTGAAAATCAGGGAGTACTGGAAAACTGTTTCGTCCTAGTTTGGGCTCTTCATGAGTACTTACCCAAAGAACCCACCAGAGATCGAACCCAGGAATTCCAGGTTGCTAGGAGAGCTTGTTGGCCATATATTATCATCTCTTTTTTAAATCATATCTGTATGATTATTTTAAATGGTAAGAGTCTTGATCTTATAGGTAGCACTTACACTGAGTGCACTCTAGGCACGTCCAGTTGATGAGTTGTCAACACGATAAAATGTTTATCCTAGTTTCTACTATGTGCCAACATCAAAACAAGTAGCTTTGACTCTAAATGGTTGATACTGAGATTTATTTTAAAGACAAACCGTAAATCATCCATATGTCATTTTCATCAGATAATGATGTTTTATCAGTCACATTGTTTATTGTCGTATCGTTGTTAATTTCATTACTATTAAGTTGACTTTGAGTTGTGTTAGAGATACTACTATTCTTGTCGTTATCAGTAGTACTGGTGCTAGTAATAGTAGTGGCAATATCTGTAGTAATAGTAGCATCTTCATTGTCATTTGAATTTACCAATTTATTCTCATCATGAGTACACTTCACTTCCACTGAACTTTCCATCGAGTTATTCACATGACTTGAGCTGCTAACTGTTGAAGATGGTTTTGTACTGTTAGTCCACTGAGATCCTTTTTCATATGTTATCGCATTTGTTGGATTTCTTGAAAAAAGAAATTGAGGATAACAAAAACATTAAATGTATACTGGTTAGAGTAGATACATTTGTAAACATACAAGTTAAATAAATCCATTATTTATTTTTAATTCACTTTTGATTTCCCCCTTAAGTGTTTGTATTGAAATGTTTGGCCTTTTTTGATACGTCGGCTCTCAGTGCGGATGTTTCAGCGATGTCCGAGGATGAAATTAAAGTAGTTTGATAAATCTTCACTATCAATGAAGTCTACAAACTTTCCGTCAAATCACTTGAAGTTAATTCTCGGATAACGTAGAAGCGACATATCAAAAAAAGGTCAAACATTTCGACCCACTTACTCAGAGAAAAAAGAAACGAAATTGAATAGGAAGTAAATAATAACAGATGCCCATTGTACAACAAGAGGCCCAAATAGTTTAGTGGCATTTGAAACGATGGGTACTGGATTAAAGTGTCACTGAGGAGACCGTTACTCCCTTAGGTTATGCAGTTGCATCCAAATAGGACGAAATTCACATCCTGCATACCAGCGCTAGTCACCATCCTCCAAATTACATAATTCCATTGTTTGGAGTTAAGTGTTTGAGTTCATCTTACCCATATTTTATTCGAATTTTGAGACAAACCTATGGTCTTTGAATATTTTAAGCCAATGTGTTCAGGTGACAGTAAGTTTCTTGAGAGAGTGATTTAAGTACCTGACTTATCCACCAGAGGGAATCCAATCCATCTGTCACAACCTTAGTGCAAATGACACTCGATTGGTTATATTTGTTGTAGTTATTATGTAAAGTGCAACGGCATAATGTTAAACTGTCTTGTTGTCAGATATAGAGGGTTATTAATTTGAAATTTTTACTTTGACTACTTTTTGGCATCCTGATACTCACCAGCTACATATGTTAGCAAACAGTATGAATAATGGTCAGCTTCAATTCAGATGGCTTAGTGTCTGGAAAGAACTCTGATGTCACATTAATTCTCATGGAGAGTATCATGTTTCTCACACTAGAAGGTGATGATAAGCTCGAAATCTTGGTTGAACTGTTGTACCTGCCTGTTTCCCTCTAAATTGTAGTGCTGTGTGACTTACTCGATGACGGCTGTGTGAGAACTAGGCAACACCAGTGAATGGACTCGAAACAGCAATTTCAACATGTAATTTAATCCTATCTGTAGGCTTTAACATTAATTATTGTAAACATCCAAAGAGTCAGAAATATATATGCATATACCTGTAGTCCGATTTCTTCTGGTGAATTTAACTTTAAAACTAATCGTTTACAGTTTATTTAGGATAGTAGGCTATATGCCTGTGTTAATCCTTTCGATTTATTGCATACAGGAGGTCCAATCTCGCCTTGAATGAATCAACGGATGGCGCTGATACGACGTGTTCCGGTAGGGAGTTCCAATGGTTCACAATTCGATGCGAAAAACGGATTTCCAGACGCAGACGATTCGACCGTGGTTTTTGAACCTTGAGGTGATGTCCTCGCAATTGGTTGGTGCTAGAAGGAAGAAATAATTTAGATAAATTAGCTCCAAAATCATTTCTTAGGATACGGTATGCTAGTATTAGGTCACCCCTAAGTCGTCTGTATGACAGTGGAAATAAACCCAGTCGACTTAACCTCTCCTCATATGACAGGGTTGAGAAACCCTTTATTAGCTTAGTTCCTACTCTTTGCACCCTTTCTAATAAGTCTATTTCGTATTTGAAACACGGGCTCGCTGCCTGGATCCCATATTCCAAATGAGGTCTGATATAAGTCGGATATAATATACGAAATATATCAGCGTCAAAGTTCGCAAAAGCCTTGCGTATGGCCCATAACATTCGAAAACCCTTAGTGGCTGCAGTTCTACAGTTTGTTGCTGTTTTCAAGTCATGCTGCACAACCACTCCCAAGTCCTTGTACTCAGTGACCACTGGGAGAGTAATGCCATTCATTGAGTAATTGTGCACGTGACTATGAGATACATGCATAACTACACTCTTGCTTAAGTTAATCTCCAAGGCCCAGTGCTTACACCAATCACTTAACAAGTTTAAATCTTCCTGCAAAGCAAGTTGATCACTGTCATCGTGCAAAGCCCTCCATATCTTGATGTCATCAGCAAACAGTAAGCAGGATGACTTAACTACCGATGGAATCTCATTAACATAAATCAGGAAAAGAAGTGGGCCTAGAATTGTACCCTGAGGAACGCCACTCTTAACCGATTCCCATGTTGATAAAACCCCGTTAACTCGTACTCTTTGTCTTCTGTCCTTTAGAAAGTCTTGAATCCAGTCGGTAACCACTTTATTGATTCCCAGACTACCTAACTTTACTAGAAGACCTGAATGAGAAACCCTGTCAAACGCCTTGCTAAGGTCTATGAATATGGCATCCACCGGTATATTAGCATCAGCTGAGCTTGCCCAACTTTCTCTGGCCAAAAGAAGGTTGGTCAAGCAAGAATGACCTGCTCTAAAACCGTGCTGTTCCACAGCGAAAAGTTTGTTCCCTTCAATGAACTGAATGATAGCATCACGAATTATTCTTTCTAGTAGTTTAACAACAATACTGGTCAAACTAACAGGACGATAGTTCTGAACTAAGTTTCTAGATCCGGTTTTGAAGACCGGACTAATGATGGCATCTTTCCAGTCTCTTGGACATTTAGACTGGTCCAGAGACATATTGAAGATTACCGACAATGGCTCGGCTATGCTTTCAGCCAATGCTGTTAATATACGTGGGTGGAGTTCATCAGGGCCACTGGACTTACCAGGATTGAGCCTTAGAAGCCACTTTAGGACAGTATCCTTTCCAATGTATAAGGGTGCCATTTTCAAGTTACCTTCTGGAAAATTTACAAAGCTGGTATCAATATTATCAGAGAATACTTGACTAAAGTGCTTGGACAAAGCCTCAGCCTTAGTCAAGTTATCCTCAGCCATGTTTGTCTGGTCATCTTCAAGCATAAGAGGTGGGATAGCATCACTCTTACGTGTTCTTCTCTTGATATATGAGAAGAGTCTTTTTGGGCAGCCTGGTGAACTTTTAACTAACTGGGTTTCGTAAGCTATCCTTGACTGGTGGATCAAAGTTTTACACTGGTTTCTGGTTTCACAGTATTTCAGCCGGAACTGCTGTAGCCCAGTAGAAACAAAGAGATTCCAGAACCTTTTTCTCCGTCTCAGGAGTGTTATAGCTTGTCTATTTATCCATGGTGGCCGATTTGTTGGCCTTTTAGGAACCCTCCAGGGGATGAGATCAGTGGTAACCCTCTCAAGTGTATTCTTAAATCTATCCCATTCATCTTCAATGGATGAGACAATGTTGACTGACCAGTCGGCAGTTGAAGCACGCTCCTTTATAGCCACTATGTCAGCATGCCAAACACTAGGCCGGGATTTGGGTTGAAAACTGACTAAATTGCCAGCCCTTAAGTTAAAATCTAACACCCCATGATCACTGTTTGCTAGAGGTGGATGAATAACTAGACCATCCACGTCGTCGTTGTCATGAGTAAGCACTAAGTCCAGCAAGGAAGATCCTTGGGTAGAACCGAATCTTGTACTACCTAAGACATGTTGTGTCAGGGCATTTTCCATGGTTGTCAAGAGTAACCGGCTGTCAAACTTATCAGCGGATCCTGGAGATGTGACAGCTACCCAGTCTATATGAGGTGCATTAAAATCACCTAGAATAAGACAGCTACTGTGTTTACTCCATTGTTTGAGGTGATCTAAAATGAAGTCATCACACTGACAATAGGGACTTCTATACAGAACTCCAATGAGTAGAGTGCCGGTTGCAAAGCTTACTTCACAGCTAATTACCTCACCTGTCCCACTGTCATGAGCTTCAGATTTCACGGAACGAACATGTAGGGAGTTGTTGATGTACAGAGCAACCCCGCCACCTCTACGACCCTTAACTCTGTCGCTGCGCAAGCAACTAAATCCGCATAGCTCAGGTGTGTCATCTAATCCGAAACCAGCCATGTTTCAGTAATGGCCACAATACCTGGGCTAAGGTCTTCTACTAATACACCTAGCTCGTGAAATTTGTTCCCGATACTACGTATATTAGTGTACACTACCTTCAGGCTTCCTATGCGGTCTGGCTTATCCACACAGGTCTTGGAAGCATACGTTTCCAAGACCTGACTATTTGAAAACCCACCAGTTTAAGGTTAGTCTCACCATTTTTACGTCTTGTTTCTAGCTGGGACAAAACTTCTTTTCGTTTAAGTCTGTCTTCAAGAGATAAATCAGGTCTGGCTGAAATTCCTGACCCGGCAAGGTTGTGTACATTAGCCAGTAGATGATTCCGTTCATCAGGAGAACCTAAGACTACTTTAAGCAACCTACGCTGACTAGAACATTCATCATCTCTTTTGCCTATTCTAATCAGCTTTTTAATCGATACTCCAGGGAAATTCGCTGGGAGCATCTTCCTTATAATACTACTCACTAATTTAAGGTCGTGATCGTGCCTTTTCACGGGATCAGATTCTTTGGACTCTTCCAAATTTCCAACAATTATGTTAGAGTCTAAGGAGAGCTTGTCGTATTTAGCAGTGGCTACGTCCTTTCTCACCACTATTGATGCAGCCTGGCTACAGGTGACAGACGTTTGCCTACCATCAATATTACTATATTTCTTCCGACTGCTTATTTTTGTTACCCATTTATCATCTGCCTGCAGTTGCTTCTCAGGGCTGCTGCAGTTTTTGATGGTACAATCAAGATCAGTGTCTGCACCACCTTCATGGTGAACTTCGCTTACGGTGTTCTCTGGTTCTGAGATGCTGTTTACAGCTTCCGTTTTGTTACCTTTTCGCTTACTAAGACGCTTCGAACGCCTAGTAGGTTTTACTTCCGGGGTAACTGGGATAGTAACCGCCGGTGTGATAACATTCATGATGGCACTTACTGCTTCATCTTCAGACGGGCAGTCCGTGTCACTCTTACTAGCCACGCTATCATCAGGAAGTTCCATGGC